TCATCTCATGATTTTAGAGATTTCAAGGTTTTGTAAAAATTGTAATTGTTGTCATATATAAGTATGTCAAATACAACAAATGGGGGGGGGGGCACGGACGACTGGATAACCATGGAAATAAAAATATTTCCTCCATCACTTTTAATTGAGTCAATTATTTAAGTTATATATGTCTAATTTGGGGACTAATTTAACAAAGGACATTGTGTAGAGAATTTCTGAATCAACTGATGTATCTGTAACTCTGCAATTAAGTGGAGCTATTGTCCTATGTAATCAATGGAGACATGTGTTTGACTAATAAGTAGGCACATACTACAAGAAAGTAAAGAGGAGCTAGACCGGGGTCACTGCAGCTAGACTATGTTCATGGGCTATGAAAGGCTTACCAGATACGGTATAACTAAGATGAAAGATAGGCTATAAACAGACTCCTCTTCGGTGTTAATCTGGATATCTGGCATTTGATTCTGATTTCCTGCAGGCCATGGAAGACATAGGTCATTCTCTCACATGGTACAAGTTCGAAGAAAATTAAATACCCAAGCATAGATATGATTCTACTTTCCCACTTCCCTATCCCCTTTGTGTAGGGTCAAAGTTAGCAGAAAATAGCCTGGAGTCTAAAGCCCTTCAGCCTTTTCTGTCTTCTCTGGGATGGAGAGACAGGCAGCTACTAGACTCTGGCAGGGAGGCTATTGTTTGGTGGCTTTCACAAGTGCACTACTTAAAACTAAGCAGAGCCAGTTCAGTACTAAAGATTGTGTGGCATATGTAATACCCTTTGTAATACTTTAAGCAAGAAAAAAAAAGAAAAAAAAAGATTGTGTGGGACCTTTACTCTCACATTAGGCATTACTGAGTGAAATGAAAGATGAAATTTATTCCCATAAACAATAATTGGAGTAACCAATTAAGTATATTTTTCTAATTTCTTGGTAAGTAGGTATTAAGGGATGTATATACATTAAATAAAACGAAGTATCAAGAATATGCATTTCTATGTAAACATCATCTCACTAAATGGTATTTTCACATATATAATACTACAGAATTAAATAGTAATATTTTAAATGCTCCACTTTTAACTTGCTCTTGAAATTAGCACAACTGACAACAACTTAATCAGTATTTCTACCCAAAACAATATATACTTATGAAGATGCTGACTCTTAAGGCTTTGCTCTGGCTCTTTTGTTCTAAATTATACCTAAATCAATCCAAAAAAGTCAAGAGAGAAATAGCACAGTGGTGTTGAATGTCAAATCATATCATATACTTTAAATAAATCCACTTACAGCTTTAAAATCAGGTTAGCAGTCTCTGGTTGAATATAAAAGATGTAAGACATTCATTTACACTGCTTATTCCCAAATTCTAACTAAATGAACCACATAGGAAGGAGAGTAAAAATCCCCAAAAGCAAAGAATTGGAAAAAAGGTGACAAGAGAAAAGAGATTTCAACAAAATTTGGAAGACACTAAGTATACAAACAATAACTTTTTTAGGTTTCAGCTTTCTTTGCTATGCTGGATCTACAATAAGGAGGAACCTAGTAAAAAGACAATTCATTCAATTATATATCTGGGAAATCAGGAATTGGAGACAGCAGGTACCTCTGAAGGCAGGGTAGCAGAATGGATGAAAACAGAATGATTGGCTGAATTGGACTTCCCAGATCTTTTCTCTTGCCTAGTCATATAGTTTAGATCCATGGTTGGCAAACTGCGGCCCACAAGCCACATGCGGCTCTTTGGCCCCTTGAGTGTGGCTCTTCCACAAAATACCACGTGCGGACGCATGTACAGTGCGATTGAAACTTCGTGGCCCTTGCACAGAAGTCAGTTTTCGGCCTGGGCGAGTCTATTTTGAAGTAGTAGTGTTGATATTTGGCTCTGTTGACTAATGAGTTTGCCGACCACTGGTTTAGATGATGGCCCTTCCCCAACTCTGGCACAATCCAGAATAACTAATGTTAAACCAGAAAAGATTGGGCTTGGGAGTACTAGACAGAACTTAGGGTTACAATGAAGAGCTGAAAACAAGGGAGGGTAGTACACAGACTCACATTTAGATTACTACCTGCACACTGAATACTGAGTCTCTAAGTCTTCTTCCCCAATCAGCTCCTACAACACTGGCTGTCAGACATTCCCCCAAAGATGAGAAAATGCACAAATCTTTTCTGGAGAAAATGATATGCGCAACAACCTGCAGACACTGATATTTAGCAGTTCCTCCCAAGAATGCTGCCAGGCCCCGGCTGGGTAGCTCAGCTGGTTAGAGCCAAGGTTGCTGGTTCGATCCCTGGTCAGGGCACATACAAGAGTCAACTGATGAATGCATAACTAAGTGAAAAACAAATCAATCTCTCTCTCCCCCTCGCCCCTTCTCTCAAACCAATAAAGAAAAAAAATTGTTAAGAAAAAAGAGTGCTACCAGGTCTCCAACTGATCCAATAAAAGTCCCACCAATCAATAAGCTCCCGCAACTTACAAAAAACTTCCAATATTTTCATACTACCCTCTTGGATATAAACAGATACTCAAAGATCATGAGCCATTTGAGAACAACCTATAATGATAAAAGTGTAATATGCTAATTAGACCGGACAGCCAAACGATTTCCAGATGAAGCTGCAGCGATGGGGGCCAAGGCAGAGGCGGTTAGAGGCGATCAGGCAGGTGGGCAGAGTGGTTAGGAGTGATCAGGCAGGCAGGCAGAGGGGGGTAGGGGCGATCAGGCAGACAGGCGAGTGATTAGGGGCAAGCAGGCAGAGGTGGTTAGGGGCCATCAGGCAGGCAGGGGAACAGTTAGGAGCAATCAGGCAGAATGGTTAGGGAATATCAGGCAGGCAGGCGAGTGGTTAGGGGTGATGAGGCAGGCAGGCAGGCAAGCGGTTAGGAGCTAGCAGTCCCAGATTGCGAGAGGGATGTCTGATTGCCAGTTTAGATATCCTCGGAGGGGTCCCGGATTGCAAGAGGGTGCAGACTGAGCTCAACGCCCCCCAACCCCCCAACCCATGCATGATTTTCATGCACCAGGCCTCTAGTCTTTAACATAAATGTGATTAAAACAAAGAGAGAGGGGGACTAAAAACAAACAATGCAAGGCTCAAATTAAAATGTAAAATATATTAATATCCTTAGAAGTAAAAAGATATTACACATCGATGACACATGAATGCTATGGAAATGGAACATTCAAAGAAAAAATCCCAATAATTTAAAGAGTTGACACAAAAATTTCAACAGGATTAAAAGAGAAAATTAAGAGAAAAACAAAAAATATAAAATAAAAGGGGAGATAAGAAAATTAAAGAATCATTCAAAGAAATTAAACATCTGACTAACGAGTTTATAAAAAAAACCCAAACCCCCTGCCCCCAGAAAACACAGAATCTTACCAAAGAGACAATATACAGCTATGGATAAAAATAGCAGACTAATCACATCTGCTTACTTTTGTCCTCTCCCCAATCCACACCAAAGTGATGGTAAAAGAATGTTTCTGTTTTTAAAGACATCAATACAGTGAATGAACAAAAAAAAGCAGTAAAATTTTGGAATCTAGAAAGCTGGCAGGTAAGTGGTAAATGATGAGACAGAATGAGGAAGCTTAATCAGAAAGCCAAGATGCAATCTGATTTTACTGCAGAACTCCCAGAAAGGATGAGGAAGTGATCAGATCAGGGTAAAAGTGTGAATGAATGGGTGTGTTGGTGGTGGTATTAGGAAAAAAGTGCTACTAAAAGTAGTTACTTTTAAAAATGTAACCAGTTAAGATTCCTTGCCTGAAAGAAGTCTGGAGATTTACGCTTTGGTGAGGATCTCCGGCCCATCCAGATGATTCAACAAATTGCTTCACATGTGCTCAGAGCTTCCATTCAGTCTTTTAGTGCCTCACACTTACACAGGCAAATGTCACCAGATCTTCCTAATGCCGTGACCCTTTAATACAGTTCCTCATGTTGTGGTGACCCCCAACCATAAAATTATTTTTGTTGCTACTTCCTAACTATAGTTTTGCTACTGTTATGAATCATAATGTAAATACCTGATATGCAGGATGTATTTTCATTGTTACAAATTGAACATAATTAAAGCATAGTGATTAATCACAAAAACAATATGTAATTATATGTGTGTTTTCCGATGGTCTTAGGCGACCCCTGTGAAAGCGTCATTCGACCCCCAAAGGAGTCGCGACCCACAGGTTGAGAACCACTGTTTTAACATGAAAGACAGCAACAAAACCAAACAAGAACAACTTAGAGGGAAAAAAGATACTTGGCATAAAGAAAATCTTTACAAAATCCATCAGTATCTCAAATAGACACAAGACAATGTAATCATAAAACAAATAGGATTCTACAAAGTGGGAGGAGGAGAAACAAAAAAAAGCTCTTGAAAATTAAAAATTACAGCAGAAATTAAAAACTCAACTATAGCACTGGGAAGGTAGAGAAAATCTCCCAGAAAATTACAAAATATATAAAAACGAAAACATAAACACACATATAAGGAAACCAGTCTTAGACAACCAGTCTAGGAGGTAATATAATGCTTAGCTATAAATATTTTCATAGGTGTAACTAAAACCGGCTACTGATTTAACAAAAAAACAAAAAAATAGTCTGTTTACTTTCTGGAAACAGAAGGAAAGGAAAAAAAGGAGAAAGGTGCAATAATATCTAAAATTAACACTTAACATTATCACTTAACATTTAAACTTATGAAAGAAATCCTAAAAGAGGTAAAGGTGGCTCGACATGAGACTCAGGAAAGGAAAGGCAGGCAACTGGTGTCTTTCCTTGAATTTCATTTCTAAACATTTACCTCTACTTTGAAATTTTGTCAATTAAATAAAGAGGATTTCAACAAAGAAAACTTCTCTAATGATCTAAATTCTTTTTCAAATAAGAGATGAGATCTAATGGTGTTAGCTACAAAAGGAAAACAAATTCATAAGTTGATATTAATGATGTTTTGAAGGATACATTGCAAAAGACAAAACAAGCAGGCACCAAACTAAGCTGATATTCATTTCCTGTGTGGGCTTCATAAAAGTGTAGTAGACTTCAGTTACTAGATACACAACTGTAGCAGCCACTGTGAAATCCACCAGCCACTGATACTCTGGAAAGTAATGCAATGCTGAAAAATAAAGGTTAAAAAAAATTTTACTTAAACTTTCATAAACAGCTTAGAAGGGTTTATCTATAATTAACTATAAACATACTAGACTTTATCTATTTGGTGTTTTGCAATGTAAGGATTACAAATATGAGCATTTAAAAATACAGGAAAGAGACCAAGAATGTTGGTATCCAAAACTAAATTTTAGTACCACATAAATGAAATAATTAAAATAAACCTGAAATGATTACCAAAAATTATTTAAATTGTTAAAAATATATGATTGCAAAATGAGTTGGTATTTTCTTAGCTGATTAGCTATATTTTACAGAAGTTATAAATCAAACTTCTTTATAAAGCATGAAATCTGTACTTTAGAACAGCGATTTTCAACCTTTTTCACTTCATGGCACATGTAAACTAATTACTAAAATTCTGCAGCATACCAAAAAATATATTTTTACTCATCTGACAAAAAAATATATATATAATTTTGATTCATTCACATAGGATGGCTATTGTCATGTTGGCTGATGTTACTTCTTAATTTGACAACCTAAGGGAAAAGAGGTCAGTGCCCAAGACTAAATAAGTATGGCATGTTTTAAAAATTCTTGCAGCACACTATTTGAAAATCACTGCTTTAGAATACAATCTAATGTAGACTACTACAGCTTTACTTATATTAATTTCTATGAGGAATGCTAAACTTTATGTTACAGTTATTAATTGCATTAATGGAGGATTAGTAATTTTGAGTTACTGCAGGTTAAAATAATAAATTAATTTACTTTTTAATAAGTTATCTGCTCCTGTAAGAAAAGCTGATGAAATGCCTGTAAATTTTCCATAAAACCACACCATTTCAACAAACTATTCCATTCTTTTTAAAAATATATATATTTTATTGATTTTTTTGCAGAGAGGAAGGGAGAGGGACAGAGAGTTATATACATCAATGAGAAAGAAACATTGATCAGCTGCCTCCTGCACACCCCCTACTGGAGATGTGCCTGCAACCAAGGTACATGCCCTTGACCAGAATGGAACCTGGGACCCTTCAGTCTGCAGGCCGATGCTCTATCCACTGAGCCAAACCAGTTAGGGCAAAACTATTACATTCTTAAGGGTTTACATTAAAATTAGCATTCTCTGTAAGTATTTATGATTCCCTCTTCCTTTTCATTTCAGATATTCTGGTTTACTTCTGCCAGAGTATAGTCCAATATATCAACATCATTTTATAGAAGGCCTCCTAAAAATGTGGAAGTAAATCACATCCACACACATTAGTTTGTATTTTCTCACTGGCACATAATAAAACGACCTACATTGCGTTGGAAAATTTTTAGTGATAAAATGTAATACTTGAGGCTATTTTAAAATCACACTTTTATAGAAAAAGTATTTCAAAAATAACACCCAAAGTAAGACTTACTTAAAATATCAAAGACAAACTAACCAAACTTACATCATCTCTATGAGGTAATAGCAAAAATTCCAAATCCTTTTATGATTGAGTCAATTTTTTATTTGGTTCAAGTTACTTTAATTGCTTTAGGTTTTTTTTGGTGTGATGTCTAGTTTCTGAACATCAGTAGAAAAAATTTACTCTAAAGTGGTTGCAGGATTCCTGCCCTCCTTCCCTCTCTAAAATCACCCAGTGAAGCCTTCTGAATTACTTTCTGGAAGAAGGACAGGGAAATGGGTGAAACAGATAGTTATCTGTTGTTAATTTTTATTAACAACAACTGAAGTAAGCCTTCTAATTCTCCAAGCCTGCCCACGCGCACATAAGGTTACCTCCAGGGAACTTAACAGCAAACAGCCAAGTGACATTCAAATGTTCTTATGCTCCTTAAGAGGAACTTACAATGAATATATAATACTAATTGAGAGATACTTTTAAGATAGTTATTCAGGCATCAATAAGATATACATTCAGCAAAAGTACAAATTATACATATTCTTTGCTATATATTTAATCCAAGTATTATATTCTTCTTTTTGTATCAATAATATAATTATATACCTCACCTTGTCATATGATGCTGAAATAGAGAGAAAATTTAAGAGTTTATCAAGTCCAGTAATTCCCATGAAGCTCCTGAGTACCTAAAGTTCAGGTAAAAAACTCTCTACTTTTTACCTAAACACACAAACATGCATTCACAAATAAATACATCAATATAAACATAAATAAACATCTCCCTGTTATTTTGATGAAGTGAAATGCTCTTGATATTTTGTGGCCAGTCGTCAAACTAGTAATATTTGCAATCAGTTTGTACAAGTAAACAAACCATTGATTAATCTGTGTGCTGAAGCCACATTACCCTAATTTCAATTTTTAAGTTCATTAATAGCCTAGTTCTCACTGACTGTTTCTGCCACATTCAGTGCGTAATCCTAACCAAGTTATTTAACTTCTATCTAATGATGGTTGTTGTTTTTTAAACTTTGGTAAGAGTTATGTACCTCACAGAATGTGAAGATGAGTTAATACAGGTAAAGCACTTACAACAATGGCTGATAAATATGGAATTTTAAGCTGCTATTAAAGCTAATTAGCTGATAATTATTTTATAAATGTTAGTTATTGGTAAAAGTGATAGAGTCTATACTAGAAACAAGGATATGCATATATATTCTTGCATTTATACATGTGTGTGAACATTTTATATAAGTAAGGGTACACACAAGATAGTAAAACTAATGTGACCATAAAAGAAGCCAAAGTGCTTTTAAATGTTTTAAATTATGCATGAAAAACAGTATAAAAGAAAAAAGGATAACATAACTAGTCTTAATGCTACTATACAATTGACTTAAATTATTTCTCATTGACATTTTTGGGTCCTAGGACACCCTTTCCCCATCTAGACATAAAATCTTTTGTAGATGTAGAATCAACTTTCAAATGTATTGAAGCCACTTTAAATCACAAAATAATTCTAAATTTCATAGATGCTAGATGAATTTGAAGGTTTTTCTGGGATGGCAAGATTTTAACACAAGAAGCAGGGCCTAATTATTACATAATGATACTTTTATTAAACACTACCAAAATTATTTTTTTTAAAAACACAGGTTGCCCAGCTGGTGTTGCTCAGTGGTTGAGCACTGACCAATGAACCAGGAGGTCACAGTTTAATTCCTGGTCAGAGCACAAGCCTAGGTTGCAGGCTCGATCCCCAGTAGGGGGTGTGCAGAAGGCAGATCAATGATTCATTCTCATCATTCATTTTTCTCTTTGTCCCTCTCCCTTCCTCTCTGAAATCAATAAAAAGTATATTTTTAAAAAAAACCCAAACACATTATTTTAACTCCTCACATAATATAAACCACAACTTCTCAAACCTACTCAAAAATCAGAACCACTTTGAACATTTAAAAAAAAAAATACAAATTCCCAGGATCCACTTTATATTTACTGCATCTCCAACAGTAGACATGAGATTTCTTTATTTTTAAAGAGCTGCTCAAGTGATTCTGAGGTACAGTCAGGTGTGAAAACCAGTGTTCTGAGTATCACATTGGATGACTTTCTCTTCTAGGACTGAAATAATTTCATTTTAAATTTGTTATCACCACGGTTATTATATAATTACTAGAGGCCAGGTGCACGACTTTGTGCACGGGTGGGGTCTCTCGAGGTGGCCTGTGGGGATTGGGCCCCAGATCACGCAGCCTGCCTGGCACTTGCCCTGGCCTGGCGCTGCCCCCTCATCTGCTCCACCATCTTGCCATGGTCCTGCTCTAGTTGGGGCCCATCGGGGCCGGCAATGCCTCCACTACTGCCCCCTGCCAGCGCCACGTGGCCGACACCTGCCACATTCCACGCCACCCCCTGGTGGTCAGCTCATGTCATAGCAAGAGGTCGAATTCAATTCCTGGTTAAACAATTTGCGTATTAGGCTTTTATTATGTAGGGTAAACACTTGACATACACAGGAAAAAACTGAATGACTTATTCAGAGATACCCAATGGGTAAAAAGTAAATCTTGAAGAAGTAAAATGTTCTATTCCTAATCCAGTTTATTATTTTAAAATCACTTTCTTTTCTACTCAATGTGATCATACAGTTGAATTACTGCAAATATAGGTAATTCAATACAAATATACAAATGTATTGAATATATTTTTTTATTGATTTCAGAGAGGGAGAGAGAGATAGAAACATCAATGATGAGAGAGAATTGCTTGCCTCCTGAACACCCCACACTGGGGATAGAGCCCACAACCCAGGCATATGCCCTCAGCCGGAATGAACCTGGGACCCTTTAGTCCACAAGTGAATGCTGTATCCACTAAGCCAAACTGGCTTGGGCTACAAATGCATTTTTGCAAGCCACAGTATAAGAAACAGACTAGGATAGATGGCAAAAAGTCTAGAATTTGAAATAATGAACACTGATCTCAGCATGAACAAAAAAATGTGTAACAAACTTGTATAAGTCAGCCTCTGCTAAAAAATGGGAAAAAATAATGCTTACTATAAGTTAGGTGAAAAGAGAAATTCAATTCAAATGAAGTCACTTTGAGCTTCTAAGTTCTGAGAAAGATTTCATATTTTGAATAATTAACTTAGTGATTAGAAAAACATACAAAAAGTCTAGCCACAACAGATAAAGGTACTTGTACTAGCATAATATAAAACTGAGATTTACAGAATACTTTGCCCAAGATTTCCCTTACCAAAGGTATCCACTTCTGTAACTGACTTTGTTTCTAGATGGAGGTCAATATCCTTTGGAATGGTCAGTGGTTTATTTTCAATGTGACCATTATATTTCCTATAAAAATGAGACAAGTGAAACAAGAAAACAAGTTACCTACATTGTTATCCAAGTTTTGTATCAAACCAATTACAAATGCAGTTTGAAATATCAGTGAAAAAGAAGCAGAACTTTTAATAACTCATCAAAATGGAGGTAAGGTACTCAAAAGAAGTTTTTAAAAGGGGGACTATAAAATATGAATGTAAATTATTATTTGAAAATACAGATTGTCAGGAAAAGACACATTAATGATGGGAATAAAATCTTAATTGCTAGTTTAGCATTTCACCCCATTTCTCCTACAGTCTCCTGGAGATTTAAAGACAACCTAACATCTTTTTTAGGGACAACGGAAAAGCAAGTGAAGACAAAATACATTTCTCATTGTAATTAAACATGTATACACACACATATATATAAGCAGATCTGTAGCTATAAACATGTCAGAGCAAAAGAAATATATTAAGACTTATGTGCATGAGAAACATGAAAGGCCAACTCAGATGCTTTTACTAAGAATCACAAAAGGAGGAAACCACAGAATTCTTCAGGTGCACACAAATTTAGTTTTTAAAGATATATATAAAAATTAATATATTAAAATAAACTAAGTTTCAGTAACATTAATTACAATACCAAGAAACAATTTTGCATTTATTCTTAAATAAGTATAAACTAGGAAAATATCAGTAAAAATATTAATTCATGTCAATAAATCAAATAATTATTGCTGCCAGGAACAAAATGTCATTTAGTGTACTTTTTTTTTTTTTAATATATTTTATTGATTTTTTGCAGAGAGGAAGGGAGAGAGATAGAGAGTCAGAAACATCGATGAGAGAGAAACATTGATCAGCTACCTCCTGCACACCCCCTACTGGGGATGTGCCCGCAACCAAGGTAAATGCTCTTGACTGGAATCGAACCTGGGACCTTTCAGTCCCCAGGCCGACACTCTATCCACTGAGCCAAACTGGTTATGGCTAGTGTACTTTTTTGTAAATGTAAAGCATTTCAACATACAAAAACTACTGTAAAAATAATAAAATTATCAATTATAAAGCATACAATAAGAATTAAATGTTTGTAAAACAAATACTATATTACATAACTAAATTTTACAAATGCTGGACATGGTAGCTATGAATAGGTAGAGATGGAACAGTTAAAAAGAAATGTAGAGTGGGGGCAGGCTGGGAGATGACAATGGGGTGAAAGGGGACATATGTAATACTTTTAACAATAAAGAACTAAAAAAAAAGGAAATGCAGAAACTGAAAAAACCTGGATCAAAATCCTGACTCTTAGTAGGATTATGGGAACTTGCTCAACTCATTTAACCTCTCTTATCAACAACTTACTCATAGGTAAAATATAAATTAAAATAATAACATATATTCAGGACTGTGTAGATTAAGTTAAACTGTTTAAAAATTCTTTGGCAATTATAATATTAAGCAGGAATATTTTTTAAAAAATAACTATTGAAATTCAGAGAAGGAGGGTTACATTTAATCTTCTAATAAGCTTCAAGGTTTATTTGTAATTATAAGTGAAAAAGAGAATGGTAGTGAGATAAGAAAAGACAATTTTTTCAAATTTCCAATTACAAGCAAAATAATCATTAATGTTTACAGAATTTTTAGCCTGGATGGTGTGCTCAGTGGTTGACTATCGACCTATGAACCAAAAGGTCCCCAATTTGATTCCCGGTTAGTGCACATGCCCGGGGTTGTGGGCTCAATCCCTGGTGGGGGACATGCAGGAGGCAGCCAATCAAATTTAGATCTCTATCATTCTCCCTTCCTCTCTCTCTAAAATCAATAAAAATATATTTAAAACAATAAAAAATAATTTTTAAATTTGCTGACAGTTTGTTCTCACTGACATTTTATAACATTAGAATAACAGTTTCAAGTCGTAAGAAGTCCTCCCCATCCCCAACTGAGGAATCTAAAACTAAGGCCCATTCAGAAAGGCTAATTAACAAACACTTTCTTTGAGAATGCTATTTAAATAGAGATATAAAATTTTCAAGCTGAAAGGATACTACAAAATTAGTTTGGTCCTTCCATTTCATAGATGAGGCTGCTGTGATCCATTCAGTAATGTTCAGGTTAAGCGTTTTCTTTATAAACTTTAAACATCAAAATAATATTCAGCAGCTGAATGGCACCTAAAGAGTTATTTTGTCTACCCCTTTGATGTAAAAAATGAGGAAACAGAAGTCAAAAGCATATGAATTTGCCCAATATCATCATAATGAGTGGTAACAAAAGGTGGGAAGGAATCCAAACTAACTGGTATCTTTATAAATGACTTATAAAGACATGGATTATGGGTCTTCCTCATCAATCCCACAATGAATTTTAATATGATGGCTATTTGTTTTCATTACTGAAACACAGAGAAGAATATAGCTGACTATGCTTAAGTAAAATAATCATTTTTGTGCTTATATATAGATGATCACAAAAGGCGTTTTCTTAGAGAGTGAGTCAGTATTATTTTAGATCATGGATTTTGAGCTCAAACTTGTCAACTGTTTATGGTGTAATTAGTAAATGTTACTTTAACCAAAGTTCAAAAATGTACTTAGATAAATTGTGTCAAACATTTAACACTTTACAAATTCAACAATATAACTTACCTATCTTTTTTGCTTTTCCCTTTTTGCTGCTTCCCTGCAAGTATTCTTAATTCTTCTTCTGTAGGATGTTGATACCATCTTAAACTAAGAAAAAGAGGAATCCTTTTAAATAAAGCAATTAAAATCACCAAAATTATTCATGTTCTATAAATATTTATTGAGTTTCCTATTTGTGGAGACACTGCTGGGGAAATTCAGGTGAAATCTCTAATCTGATACTAACAGATACTTAGAAGGATTTATTTAGATACAAATCCAGCGAATGCCAAGCACTTACTAGATAGATGCCAGACCCTGAAGTGTTGTTTGTTGGTATATTTCTGACAACTAACAATGTATTAACATATATTAAGATGATAAAGGCTTACTATTAAAAGTAAATGGAGTAAACTGCACGCAAGTTGCAGCAGCACATTTAACTTCTCCACCCACCCCTTCATTCACAAAAAAGGAACTGATAAAAAGAGAGTCCCTTGAATGCTCCCCAAAATACAAGTAGTCTTTGCTTTGCTTTCCTTCCTTTAATTTAGTTGGAGAATTATCAAATTTTATGTGTATGGAAATTAGAGTAAATTGTTGTTATTTTTAAAACCCTGTATACTCCTTCCTCTCTCCGCCTGCCACCCAAGATCCAAGACCCTAAAAGGAAGAGGCTAAGGGAAGGGAGGTGGTGCCAGCCCCGAAAGGATCACAACTGATTGGCAAATGGCCCCAATACATTTGGCTGCGGGGACAAAAGGCTATTCTCTGGACGTGTCTAAAAGTGCTTCCTGCCACTAACCAGTTCACTCACCAAACAGCTACTCAACTGCTAAACCTGGCCCACAAGTACGGACCAGAGACATAGCAGGAGAAGCAGAGACTGTTGGCAAGGGCTGAGAAGAAAGCTGCCAGCAAAGGGGACATCCCCACCAAGAAGCCACTTGTCCTTCAGGCAGGGATTAATACTGCACCACACTGGTGGAGAAGCAGAAGGCCCAGCTGGTAGTGATCACACACACTGTGGATCCCATCAAGATGGTTGTCTTCCTGTCTGCCCTATGCCTTCCCTCTGGACACTCTCCTAAGTACATTCTGATCCCACCTTTAGTTATTTTTCCGTAATGCAAAACTTATTAAGAAATATGCCTGTGTAAATCCTTTGTAAGACTTCACAGGGGAAAGCAGTAAGTAAGACAGCTAGACAAGGACTCTAACCAAGGTCCTATTGTCATAAAAGAGAAACAGTTTTGCTAGAGCTTGCAATTTTTCAATTACAAAAAAAAATCTAGAATTTTAAAGTGAAATATGCCAATTAAAAAAAATATTAGCAATTGATTTGCTGTTTTTAAAAACACTGCAGAGTTGACAATGTGAATAATGACTGGAAATTTGATGTTAGAAATTTTTAACTGTAATAATGCGATAATAGTAATTTTTAAAAAGCTCATGTATTTTAGAGATGTATACTGAACTATCTATGATGAAGTAATATTTGCTACAAATAATATGTTTGGAGGGGAGAAGAGATGAAACAAAGTGACAACCAGCTATTAATTGTGATGAGTACATAGGAGCTCATGATATTCATTATATAGTCATTATGTTATTCTGTTTACTCTTTGTATATGTTGGAAATTTTCCATTGAAATTGAAACACATAAAGCCCAAATATGTTTAGGTTTTGTGACCTTCTGTTCCACAGCATTTTGCTACCAGCTACTTTATTGGATCCACGTTCAAAAATTCCCCTTTTGAACATGACAATCTACCTAGACTAAATGACATTGTATTTCACAAAGTGTTTCATTCCTGGTGTTTTGGCATTCCAGGTTCTGCTTTTAAAAACCTATGCACCTATCTGGCAAACTCCACTTTTACCTTTTACCGTTTATAAGGCAGTCTCCCTGTGATAAAATAAAGGATATATCTGATTACTGTCCCCAGTTCTTGGCACACAGCCTCAAAAGCCCTTGGGGCCATTGTGGTTCAGATAGCTGGGCATCCTCTGTGCACCGAAGGGTTTGGAGTCGTGGTCCCCAGTGAGGACCATGCAGGAGGCAGCTGATCAATGTTTCGTTCTCACAGACATATTTTTCTCTTTCTCTGAAGACCAACGAAAAATTTTTAAAAAGCCCTTGGAATTTCCTTAGTAATAGGAGGTGTCTTTGTTATGGGTTAAAACGGAATATCCCACTGACTGAAAAATTCTTGGAGTGAAGATTTTATGTACAGTTACTGGCTGTTAAGTGCCCCAAAAGGATCACTGAACCAAAATGAATTCAGCTCTCCTCTTAAATTTAAAGATTTTAAAATATAACATATATTCTAACCAAAAAGTCCCTAAACTATAATTAACATGGGTTGTTAGGAGGTACTTACTGAAGTCCAGAATTTTAACTTACAATTGATTCTCATAAAGTTGCCACAAACACTGTACCTGAGAGCCTCTGGTTAGTAACATTTTCATCAACCAATCAATACATAATCTTGTTGTATGTGTGTTTATGTTTAAAGGTACTTTATATACAGACAGTCCTCGGGTTACGACGGACTTGACCTACGTCGTTTCGTGGTTATGTCACCCTCTCCCATTTATTTATAAAAAAAAAGTTCCATCTTTTCGACGTATGTACATATGTGCTTTATGGTTTTTATTATTTATTTACCACAGGTAAAGGTCAGGAATTGTTATCTTTTTTTAAAGTTTTTTTACTGTTTCACTTCATTATTGCTGTATATGTGCTCCATGTGAGTGACGTAGGTGCTTATGTAGGTGGGTAGGAATGGATCTCCAACATAACCCGAGAACCTACTGTATATTAATTCATTAACATTACGTTCACAGTCCAGTCAACAGAGCTATAACTCATGCCTCAACAAAGCTTACCTAATAATTGTAATCATAAGTATTGTATTTTCCTGAGTTCTATGAATATTTGCAGCAAATTTTCTCTATAGCACACATCATAGCTTTCTTCTGCTTAGGAACATTAAATGGCATTTCAGTACTATGCTTGGAAGCCATTTTTAATAGTGAAGTCATCAACAAAAAACAAAAATGAAAAATGTGGCACTAAACAGACTACAAAAAGGACATCTGTTTATAATATGAGAGGGGAAACAATAAGGCCTCACTTGCTGGGAAAATGGGCACAGGGCCATTCAAAATTTTCCCCTCTGCATGTCTGTGAACTACCTCCCAAGTATCACAGCTGTGCATTTTGTGGCGCTTCAATGAATACATTTTACAAATAAACTTTAATAATTAAGCAAATCATAAATATAGAATACACAAATGATGAGAACTGAGTATGTAACACTTAAAAAAACACTTAAGCAGTAATTCAATTTAGAGACTAAGTTTAATTGCTTAACTCTTAATATAAGAAAAGTTAGGTTACATTTAAAATCTTATAATAATAAAATATTTTATGACCCTTACATTTTCTAGGATCCATTCTCTTTTTAAATATACTCGTTAGTTTACTCTTATTTCTAAACTGGATTGCATTTATTTTATACTTCTTACTTGACAACTCAGGTCATCTTCATTAGGAATAATTACTGTTCAAAACTGGAATTTAAGGATGCTCTGCTGGGTGCTCTTAGGGCTCCTTCTAGTCTGTTACTCTTCTATTCATTCATTCATTCATTCATTCATTCATTCATTCATTCATTCATTCATTCATTCATTCATTCATTCGACAATTATGGTCAAGTACTCTGCTAGGCAATGGAGTATAACCACACACAATAAAGCCTAAGTCCATGCTTTGCTGATACTTATATTCCAGTTGAGGCAGAATTTAGCCAATAAAAAATATGACAGCCTGGCCGGTGTGGCTCGATGGTTGGAGCATCCGCCTATGAACCAGGAGGTCATGGTTCGATTCTGGTCAGGGCCTATGCCCAGGTTGTGGGCTCAATCCCTACCTAACAGGGGTCATGCAGGAGATAGCCAATCAATGATTCTCTTCATTGATGTTTCTATCCCTTCCTCTCTGAAATCAATATTTATTTTTAAAATGTGACCAAAAAAATCATCAAGTGGGTACCATGCAAAAGAACCAAACAAGTGGTGTGAATGAGAGACGTAAGGCTTAAGTATTAGGTTAGAAAAAACTCTTTAAATGACATTTACCCAGAAAGCTAAGGATAAGAACAGCAGAGGGGAAGAGCATTCCAGGCAGAAAGCAGCATGCCCCAAAGCACAAAAGCATGAAAGAACACTGCAGTAACCAAAAGACCAAGAAGGCAGCAGAACCATGTGTAAGGAGAAACACATGAAGGAGGCTGAAAAGAAGATCATGCAAAACCCCCGGGTCATGGTATGGAGTTTAGATTTTATGCTAAAGTAGTGGTCTCAAGGCAGGAGAAAAGACTTGCTTTACATTTTAAGATCTCTTTTACTTCTCTGTGAATTAGAGGGAGGCTAGAAGAGCAGAGAGATATATTTTGGATATCAAATCAACAGATCTTGCTGATGGACTAAAAGCAGGGAGTGAAAAAAAGGAATGAAGGATGATGTCTACCATTTCCAATTTGAGAAAGATGGTGGTATATTTTCTGAAATGGAGTAGCGCAGGAAGAAATAAAGAATTTAAGTATGCTGCATTTTTAAGTACCTATGACATACCAAGTGGAAATATCAAGAGAGTAACTGTGTATTACAGTCTACAACTCAGAGACACTTTGATGTCTTTACATAATTGTGGTTTTTACATCCATAGGAATTAATAAGATAGCCTAAGGAGAAAATAAAACATGGGAGAAGCTAAACAGTTAATAAGGAAGTGAGAAAGTAAAGTTTATAGAGACTATAAAGCAACTGACAGAGAAGCAAAGTCTGGGTGAAGGTCAGAAGAAATGGGGTACAAAGTACAAGTGCAGGAACTGAGGCATGACAGACAGGATACTTCCTTCATAGACAAAAATTAAAATATATAACATTAAAGAAAAGAAGGGTTGCATGTGTAACTAGGTTTGTAGGTTTGGTGCTGTGAAGATGAGAGCAACTGACTTTGGTTTTAAGAGGTTAGTGTGAGGCTGAGGCAGACAAGCATGTTTCAGGAGAAAGGCTTTGGGGTTGAAAAATTGTCTAT